CTAGCTCCTGACGTCGCTAGTTTTCAAAACATGTACTCGTGCAATAAAGCTTAACATTATAAACTGATTGCATAAACTACTATTGTAGTTGCGCTGCGGATCAAAAGCAAACCGGACAAGTAACAGCAGACGGGGTTGAGAAGAGTGTGATGTTGGCAACCGCCTCTTCTAGCTAATTCTCTAAAAAAAACACGTTATTGTACTTACATTTTGGTCATTTTCGTTCGACGAATGACCCGTTGAATTCAAGCAGAATGACGTCAAAGGCCAATCGCCGGGAAGCGTTGATCTGCACTAATTTCTGAACCGCCCACTCCTTTGACTACGAGCATACGTAATGCCTGCGCCAACTGAAAGGGAAACTCATGTAAGCATAAAAAAAAAAAAAATTGACGTGGATAATGTAATTTGGAACATTTTTTTACCCCGTAACCTGCGACATACGATTTTGGTTTGCACTGACGCGAAAGGAAAGAATTTTCTACCCCCATTAAAAAACGAATATTTATTAAATAGCCCGCAGAACTTTTCACAATACAATTAATATTATATTATTTACTGAGAACTATATTGTGTATTACACAAAATTTAACTATTTTTTTAGAAATACGGCTGTTATAGAAAAGATTTTACTGAAGGTTTTTTAATATTTGCTGTGCCTAAGGTAAGAACAAAAATATGCTCTAAAATAATCACAAGCAGAAAACTAATACCAAAACACTAAATTATAAACTAGTGTGCATCAAACTACCTGAAAAAAGTCACTTTCAAGAACAGAATCTTTATATTAGAATTCTTGTTCTGAATTTATGGTCCTTCACAAGCGTAATTACTGCAGTCCTTACAATTGATAATGAACAAATAGCACATATCTTTTCTTTCCTTATCTTTTCCACGTCACCCTTATAGCACCGTACATCCTTGAATCATCCTCTTTTGAATGAAACTGTACTTAGTTTCCTCCCCATCATGACCTTCGGCTTCAGTTTCTACATTGCTTGTCAAAGTCGCAAACAACATGCGGCTAAAAATCTTTGTTATTACTAAAATCACTGTCTTGACTACCTTTACGCTCTCTACCCTTTCACCGACGTTTAGATTATAAGTTCGCCTATTCTTTCGAAGCAGTAGCCATGATTTATTTTGAAAACGGAAATGAATAATCATCAGAATAACTAACGTTCCTTATGAGGAAAGTTTTGTTTTCTGACTCTTTCGAAATATAAAGCAATATAGATTATTTCCACGTATCCACAAAGCTCATGGAGCAGTCGACACACAACAGATAGAAAGCTAGAGAGCACCATTCTTCCGAGTGGTAATGGATAGCTGAACCCATAGAAGGTAGGTAAATCGGAGTATAATGTAACATGTAGATATGTTACAGGATAAAAAGAAAGTGATAAAAATTATAGAACATAGTGTTATTACCTCTCAATTGGTAAAAATGTCACAGGAAACTATTTTAATGTGTCCATAAACGTATTTCTCCTAAACTTTTTATTCAGACGATGACTGGACTCTTGAAAAGAGATTGGGACCAGCGTTTGTTCTGAATGTTCAGAAATATTTCATGGCCTGAACAGCTCTGACAAATACTGTTTCTTTTTCAAATTTTACATTTTAAGTGGGAAGTAGACGAAGATCTAAAAATTGCTTCTAATCGAAATGGCGAATTTTCTGTAAATACAATAATTGTATTATTAAAATTGTGAAAAATCCTCAACCATATACTCCTTTCCTATGTACTTGAAGTAACAAATTAATATAAAACTAAAGGAAAACTTATTCAATGCAGTTTTGAATTGCAAATTAACAATTGTGCACTCCATTGGATATGAACGATTGTTGAATTGCAACTCGTGCCATTCACTGGTTTGAGGTAACCAATTTGTTGAGTCTCTGTTCAGTAAACAGGGCATCAATTGATGTCGCTGTGGAGCCTCTGACCGAAAGGTCCTAGGGTTCGAGAGCCGTCGGTGGCAGGATTTTCGACTTTTAGGACGAGTGTAGTCGCCGAGGAGAATTCTAGCGGCCGGCTGCTCTGATCGGTTGTTTTCCTTTTCTCCGTGAGCTGGCGAATGCCGAGCAGTGCCCTAACAAACGCGCCCCGAACCGCGCGCAATCTTTCCTGTCTCTTCCTTGTCCTAATCTCGCCCCCCCCCTGGCTTTCACACACCTACACTTACATGCACTACACTAGATGCAAGGAGTTAAAGCATGTCCCGGCTGGGATGGTTGGTTGGTTGGGGAAAATCCCGTAGCTGACGTGAAAGTCGGCGCCGGATCTCACCACCCAGTGCGGAAGATCACCGCCACCTCCCGGTGAAAAAAATAGGCACTATACTTAAAGGAATTATGATCGTAGCAGTTGACGCGCTCGTAAACGTGAAATAATCAATCTCAATTCTGTTACGCCTCCGTTTACATGAACGTCCATTTAAATGAATTAAATACTAAAATTGAAAGAATTCAGCAAGCCTAGCATAACAAACTCAAATTCAATCAGTTTTCATTATGTATATTTGACGAAGGTTCATTCCCGCGTGAGATATGGTTTAATATTCTGGGGAAACACAACCTATAGCTCCTAGACTTTTGTATTTTAGAAGAGGATTGTACGAATAATTAGCAAGACCCATCCATGAGAGTGTTTTTATTAAGTTTAGGAATTCTACCATTGCCGTGCCGTTTGATTCCTGAATGCGTTATTGTTTTGTTGTAAAAAATGACTTACTCAAGGTTGGCAACATATTTTCAAGCGATATAGACGTATCTAACTATAACACTCTACGTAGTAATCATATTAATCAGGTGTCAGCATTGATAGCTCACTATAAAAAATTAACTTACAATAATATATATTATTTTAAAGCACTGCGCCAAGTGATATGGTACGTCGTCACACAGTGTTCAATAATTCTTGACGTTAATAAATAATCAATAATGAAAATACAGTAGAACCTCGGTAATCCGAACCCCGTAAATCCGAAATTTCGGGTAATCCGAACAAAATTCGGGATGGAGAAAAAATAAATAAAATGCTTATTTGTAGTGAAAAGGATTTTACAATTATTGTAAAAGTAAACGACTAATTATTGAAACATACGTTATCGAAATGAAACGATTATTGCACTGATAACTACGGTGTATATCACATGTTGATATAGCAATAGATTTCATTTAGCAAAATCGGTAATCTCTTTCGCCATAAGGAACTGAATCTGCTTCATGTGGTGTGATGATGCGATCGCTATGCTACTTGCCGTTTTATCACATCGCACGCTACTTTCCATTCTGTCGGGAAATGTTATAGATGTATTTGTGTATGTACTGTACACGTTTTCGGATAACCCGAACATTTTCGAATCCAACAGACCACTCTTCCAATTTATTCGGATTACGAGAGTTCTACTGTACCGTATTTTACGGGACGTGTGCGATTCCTGCATCCGAGAATTCCGTAAGCAAAGTATTAAATCGCGTTCTTAGAAAGTTGAACGATTATTTTTCAACGGGCGGAAGTGCGTCTCCAGTAACCTATTGAAGAGCACAAGGCTTCCGCTGAGTCGCCAGTAGTCTTGCTGCTGTCAGTGCGCACGTGCGTTGGGTAGGACGTTCATCCATCGTAAGGCGCTGAGGAAATGTAAGTGTGTGGCTAAACATTACTATTTTCCGTTTGAAAATGACTTTGTAACCCTTGTTAATATAGAAAATAGTTTCATGTTTGAACATTTATATTTTTAACAAATTTATACAAGAGACAAAACAATTCCTTTACATTAATGGCTACGACCACGTTCAGTTTTCAGAGGCGTCACGGTTTTTTGAACTTTCTACTATGTGGTTAAACATTTAAAAATATCGAATAGAAAACATACGTTATGCGATTCGTTTTAAACCTAGTCTTCGACGTATCCTGACCTCCAAAAATTTTACTGGCAAACACGATGGAGCTGTTTTCGAATGACATCCGGATAACCACCTGTATTTACTACGAAAAATCAGTTTTGGATTTTCGAACAATTGTGTTTTTTTTTAATTTTTTTTTTATTTTTTTTATTTTTTTTTTTATTACATTTTCAATAAAATTTTGAAAACTTGGAGTTGACTTTCTATGTTTCGTAATATCTAGTGTTTCTTCAATAGGGCATGAAAAAAGGATTTTTTTAAATGTAAATTTATTGTCTTATAGTACCTCTAATCTTCACGAACCCGTAGATAAAGAAACATTCACGAACATTCATACACAAAAAGTAGAAAAGATTTTTACTTCGTTTCGAAATATTTGTCAGTTTCAGTTTAGACACCAACAGCAGGAGCGTCAACAGAACAGCGACAGCAACGAAACTAATCACAAAAATTAATTGGTCGAATTTTCGCACTCATAACAAAGCAACATTCTTTCGCATGCAAACAAAGCAAAATAAGTGCATGTAAAAGATCTGCATGCAGTCACAGCATTATCAGCAGCTGAACAACACTCTCTTCAACTAACGTAACTGCACTCATCAAACGCGCTTTTTAAATCAACAAACCTAAATTAAAATGAATATGAATTCGCCCAGCATGAGAAATCGCCCAGTATCGTCAAATTCACTCAACATCGTTAAAAATACAACGAACTCGTGCATTTAATAACCCGCAAATTTATGAAACAATGTGTGTTGGTAGCTGTATTAGACGAAGCCAGAAAACTGATGGCCCGCAAGCCCCCCACAGGCCGGCCGCCGGGGTCGGGTTGCCAGCTCTCCGCGCTGACAGCTTGTGGCGCGGAATCGCGACGGTGTCCAAGCCGCCGAATGACCGCCTGCTCGTGCAGGGCCGTACGTGAAACCGGGAGGCTTGTGTTTTGCAATGTTAATCCATGGCCACTCTTGACTGCGCTCCGTAAGAGCTTGTCGTCAGAGCGCGCCGAGCTTGCAACGAGACGCCGGACCCAGCGACGACGGGTGCTCTCCTTCATGGAAAGAATGATTTCATTCGCCGATTTTGCGGCAATGACCGGATCATTGAATGGCTTTAAACCAAAAGAGATATTAATACCAAAGAAGAGTAATTTATCCGCTGATTGTGCGTCTGTGCAACCTAAGCAAGAGTCGTCGCTGGAAACTTTTATTAAAAGGTACGCTTGCTTGTATTAATGCGACATTGTAATCAAGGTGCGGGCTCTGCTACATGCATTCGCAGCTGCAGCGGGAAAACGAGGTACAATGATACCTTTCAAATGGCCACTTCGATTAAGCGGTCTCATCACGTAACGGCCATTTTTATGTAGAACCGATTGATTTTTCCATGAGACAAATGCGTATGTTCTCTCTTTTCAACGGTCACTTACCAGAGCCGCCAACGGACAGATCGGCCAGGCGGTCGGTTCATGCGATTTGGATGTGTATTATAATATGAAACGGAGAAGTGGGGGAGATTATTGGTTTAATATCCTCCTAAGACGGCACACGTTCACATAGGCGCGTGAATCCTATATGAAGGGCATTCTCGAACTCCTTGAGACGGTCCTGTTGAAATGTGCCGACAGGAAGTGAATTGTGTATTCACGTTTAGTTTGCTTGCTTGCTTGTGTGAGGATATACAGTAGCGAGTTTCTTGACTAACAATGAGGTACACTTATGAAAATTGAATGTAGATGAATTTGTAATAAAAAAATAGATTTAGTATGTAAAAATATTTGTTTTTGTCATATTTTTATTTCGAGTTCATCTATATATTTGAGAAATAAGCAAGAGTAAAACATTTCAAATTTTGATCACTAGGGAGACGATTTGTATGCCCTAAAACGTCTTGAAATATGCTATAAAAACGTTCATTTATGACCTAAAAATTCTGAACTAAGCACTTTAATATGCAATTAAAATTAACATTTCATTTTCTGCTTCAACCTTTCTTGATAAAATTGAGGGAAATCGTGCTTGGAGTGATAATAAATATATTTTTCTGCAAACATACTGTTATCTTACTTCTTGGGAGAAATAATTAAATATTCATCTGCGTGAAATACATTGTATGTCTTGTTGCATTTCCTGGTTTAAAAAATGTGATGTCAAGAAATATCCCGTATTTGCATAAGTATTTTATCATCTACGAAACAAAACTCAAACTGAATAGCGTTTTCTAATCGATGAAAGCTCACAAATAAATAGATCGTATGAAAAGTTGAAACATTTTAGTCATAAGTCTCTACTTTAACGAAATATTCAAAATATGCTTCTATAATTGCACGAATATGCGTCAACAGGAAAAACCAGCTAAATATGCACAAATATGCACCAACATATTAATTTATTTAGCATCCAATTCTAACCAAATGTCAAGAAATTTCGCTTAGCTTTGCCCACTATTGACGGACATACCGTAGAAATCTGCTCCCTAGTGATCAGACTCCTGTGATTTGAATTTACTCTCGTCAAAAAAACGTTGTTCGAAAATGTAAATGAATTCACACATAGGCATACTATTTGCTAATTAGAACAATCGTGGAACACATGCCTGATGGTAATGTGACGATTTATATCAAGAGAATCATTTTGTTGCACAATAGAATTGATCTTTCAACTATTACACACTTGACCAATTAATAGTAATTAAATCGGTAGGTATTGTACCAATATTTACTGAATGTGGAGTAGCAAATCTACGAAATTCCATCTCCAAAATCTTGAAAACAAGAACTCTTGATTATAAAAACTATTCTGGAAAGCGTCAGGCATTGATACAAATATATTAACTTCGTATTTAATGTAACTTCGTGATCTTCCGTTTTTAGTTGTGTCGCCTCGTGAGTCTTGTCGTGGATGCTCTTTGTCTGCCTGACGCTTTGCTCGCCTGCCACTGTCCTAAACAAACCTCACCGCCAAAATGTTTTTAAAGAAATGGGCGTGAATGGGGGAATAGTTGATGCCAATAAATTTATCTGTTTCAATTTATAGATTTAATGTGAGATTCATTCATTTGATAAACATAATTTCGTATATCAACCCTCCCTGAAATATTTGTGTTCATGATTAAGTAATATACGAATTTCCAGTGAATCGTATGGTGTTCGTCAGTGGTTGGCAATCGGTATGTTGCATAATGCAAGGGCAGGGTTCGTGCTCCCTTGGAAAAACAAGGAAAACGTGATTTTTTTAAATTTTTTTTTAATTTAAGGTCGCATGAACATATAGGTCATTAGCGACCTCTATTGCATTTAACGGTATGGTAACCATAAAGATGACATGGTGTGGTGATGAGGGGGAGAAAGGACGAACAAAATTTTACCACGCCCGAGGCGGGATTCGAACCCGCCATCCTTCGGTGCGAAATCGCTCCGTCACTACTGCCTTAACTATCTCGGTCATCCGGACCGGCAAACTTGGAATTGTCTGGGGAAAAGTCGGGAATTTGAAGGAATACCAGGGAAATATTGTTTCGTAGTAAACAATGATTGTCTTTAACTAAAAACGTTTTCGAAACTTGAAACCTAAATCATATTAATATCTTCTATTTTATCTAGGAATTCAAATCTACGCCTTTGGATCCGTTAGGCATTTTACTGCGTAAATAAAGGGGTTACCCTCGGGGAGGTCCCGTACAAACGAGACGCATCGTGCTTTCCTCTCGCTGTTGCCAGGTGTGACTGAAATGACCCGAAATGAAAGTATGAAGCGCGCAAAACATATGTGGAAAATTTGGTGCTACATGTATATTTTGGTACAATGTTCGGAGACCCTGTTTCCACTGACAATTTTCGATGTATCTGTTGCTTAGTTTTTGTTTGTTTGTTTTATTGTATCTTACTCGTATATTGCGATTACACTGAAAAAAAGCTGAGAAAAAACCGTGTAGTACTGCATTGATTATTGTATGGTATAAGGATAGTGGCAACTAGTATCTACCGATTTTTTTATCTTCAGTTACACTATTTGTTTTTGTTAATTTCCTCCTGTACTATTTACTTAAAGTATTGCGCATGCGTTGTTGAACTCTCATTTTGTTTGTAGTTGTGGTAGTGGAAGGAGTAGAGTTGGGTGGGAGTTGCTATTTTGATGGCAATACAGGGGAAACAAATTTGGAGTTCGTTTGTCGATGCAAATAAGGTTTCTATAACAAGGGGAAAGTGTCTAGTTTCTACAAATGTTGCTAATCTCGCGCTTAAAATTTAATTTTTATTATTTTACTTATTTTGTGTACCTTTTATTCATTTTTCAACTATTTATAGTTTAAATGTTGGGAAGCAGTTCTGGAACTCAAGAAAACGTGAGCAGTTTATTTAATTCCCTATACGTCGCAGCTTTTACTGTTTTTAACTAAATAAATAAACAAATTTTCGAAAATATGAGTCTTCGCGTACTTTTTATGTGCTATAAAGGAAATCGTATTTTAGGTAATTTGTTTCAAACCTGTACTACAGCTTCAGTATTAATGCTAGAGATTCCTCCGTTTATTAATTTGAATATTGGTATAATAATGAACTGTGTTTGGAAAGTAAAAGGCATATTCCTTGTACGACGATTTTCGTGCTAAAAACACGATATCACGCAAACTTTAGTCGTTAAAGAAGATTATTTTTAGTAGATTTACATGTTATTAACAAAGGACACAGTAAGTACATATACAGTTATACATTTGAAGGTTTTCTTACAAGAACCAAACAGGTCCAAATTCGAAATTTTGCAGGAAGCACCAAACCTTCCTAGCGTAGACGTGCATTGTAATGAATTTATTGATTTTTATCCCACCTTATATCTTTCGTTGTGTTTGGCACTTGCCGAATGGAAATGTCCCAGCAGATGGCAATCGTAGAGCGTCTTTCTACAACTACAATATTCTAGGTACAGATTATTTTGTTCTGAAATATGTTCTTGAAACGTAGGTCTTTAAAAAAGGCAGTGTACAATTTGTTTGAAAATGAGTCGATATGGTGTAATTTTGTTGAAATAAAGGCAGTTATATACAAAATTTTCTCAATAACTGCTGCTAACTGAGATTGATTAGTGATTCAGCACGCGTCAATTACTAAGGTCGGTTTGTCCTATAAATGTAATGCGTTTTTATCGCGGGAAGTGGTGCTGGATTGTGAAAAATTAAAGAAAAAATACGGAGCCGTTTATGAGAAGGTGTAAAGATTATATATAGGTCATGCAAAATTATGCCAAAATAATAATTTTCAAGAGAGTTTACCTGGCCTTGCTTCAAGATGTCTTTAAAGAACATTATTAAGAAAGGAATATCTATCGTCAATATTGTAATTGTTGGAAGATGCCAAAAAAAAATGAATGTTTGCCATTTTCGAAAAAATCTAGAATTTCAACGAAAATGAGACGCGCACCATTCTCTTGGGCTCACGGGCGTACAGTGACACAGACTGGCAGGCGGATGGATGGACAGGTGGGCGGACGTTTTTCCGTCAACTGATTTTTCCCTATTGTAACAGCCGATTTCTTCGCCGGCCACCTACGGCGATTTACCTAACCGCGTCTCCTGGGCGGCCGTTAGAGCGCTAGTGCCTCGTCCGACGTAGCCCAGCACAGTCCCACACGTGGATGCGAGTCTCGCTCGAATGGGGCGGGATTTATTTCGATGTTGCTTGTCTTGGGAAGTGTAGTGTGACTACCCTGGCTTTTATATGATACCATGACGCGTGGTATGCCATGAGGGGTAGTATGTGCACATTCATTCATAGCAGCCGCGCGGATACTGACATTTAAATGGACGCAAATTTGTTGTCAGGTCTCCCGTCTGGAGGCGCCGCTGCATGACCTGGAGGACGCTTTTGGGCTCTCCCGGCTGTGGATGCTCCCCTCGCGTACGGGCAGATGAGGCATTAGTGTAGTGCCTCACGCCGCTCACTTTTATCTGCTCTAGTATCCAGCAGTAAATCACTGTCCGTCTCCTATCTACGCACTGTCATGCGTTTTCTCGTTCGGGAACCTGTGTACGCGTCTCTTCTCCGTGTTTCTCGTCCGAGAACTTGAATGTTTCTGCCTTTTCGCTTGTCTGCCATTCACCTGCACCCACCTCCCTTCTCGTGTCTCTAGTTTCGTATTGTCAGTTTAATTGAAACTCGTCTCGTGTAGTAGACGTCGTTTGTCGAATTTTGTCAGATGCGTTGTCAGACACAGTTTCCGAGGGGGTTATGAGACTGGCTGCTAGGTCAACCTAGATGTCACAGTATCGAGGACCCACAAAACATTTTCACTTCACAACGTGTTAGTGGAATTAATTTACTGTATATAGGATCAAGATTTGTCCGTCTTGGCGTTACCTGAGCCTGGCAATACGCGTTTTTTGTTGTTGTTGTTGTTGTTGTTGTTGTTGTTGTTGTTGAAACTTCCCCGTGTTCTGGCGCACTATTACATTACTTTCTCTTGTTACGAATTAAGGGCGAGAAATTAAAAACAAGGAGTAAAAAAACTTGTAATTGTAATGGAAGGTGAAATACTTAAAAATTTGTGAAGTGAAGGAGAAATACCAGCAATGGTTGCGCAGATAGCACTAGTTCATTCACTAACCCCTTCGTCGTCCCAACATGCGAGGCAAGCTTTGTTTTTGTAATTTTAGGTAATTTCAATTTTCACATTTTTAGGTAATTTTTACATTTTACCATAATAAAATGTTTATAATCGACGAAATATTCCGTCACATTGTAGAGCTAGTGGCGGAAGTGGGAACTGACCAATGAATTTCTCGTAGCGCCCTCTTCCCCCCCCGTTCCCTGCCAGACGAGAATAGTCGTGTTGTGGCTATCATTGCTTGTGGAGCACAATTTATATTGAATTTGAGACATGAAACAAGCGAAAGTAATAGGTTTGTAGTAAAATGTTGAGGATTCACTACGTTAACGTTTCTATTGTGAATTTGGTTTACCCCAATATTGATGTATTTATGAATAGATTTTAATGGAATGTAGTTAGCTGGAAGTATAATTTGTGCAAGAGCAGGTTTATTTTGGTGACATTTCGTATTATAATATAAAATGGATATATCTACTTAATTGTATCTCAGCTATATTATAGTTATCTTATATTAGAATGATTAAAATAGTAATTGTGGATTTCACCTGAATATGTAAGTTTCTTCGAGTAGCTTGTGAGAATATTTCAATGTTTATTATAATACGTCATAAAAATTAATGGAATTACCATACTATTTTCAGGATTTTGATTGTCATATGATGGCAAGAGTTAAACCTTGTAAATTTTTGTGAATTTGGTCCTTGGAATGACTCAGAAGATGTACAATAAAATTACCGACAATGGAAAACTGGATTGAATTTAGGTAGTTCAAAATAAGTACAGTGGTATCAATGTATTTGATTTCCATCTATTGTTATTAGACTTTTGATTACAAAAGTAATTACGAAGCGCAGTTTTATCACATACGTGTATTTCAACATAAAGCTTTTTAGGGGCCGTAGTGGCCATCTTAAGAGCTACAAAAATAAGACAAAAATGTAATTAAAAATGTATATAAACGAAAAATATGATGTGTGATTTTATTGTGAACATAAACAAAAGGAAACACAAATCACGAAAAAGTAAACAGAATTATAAAGGATCCATACTTGAAATTACATATTTACAAATTGCAATAACTTATAGAGATAAATGAAATTGACATAAGTTGTTATGCTAAAAAAATATAGTAAAATGCATAAAGAAATTAATAGACAAATGCGGACTGCCGCCCCCATGCGCAAGTTGCATCCTGTACCCCATCTTTTACGTATGGTTATGCCCTCCAGACCAAACAACGGTTTGTCTGATGACCTTCGTTCAGTCGAAAAGAAAATTGTCAGTGTTGTCAGTGTGAATAGTGTAATTATAACTGTTGATATATTGCATTTGTGTTTGTGCTCAGACTCGTTTTCTGTCTTATCCACATTTTCCCCTTCTTTTCCATTTCATTTTAGGATTCTCACAGTTGATGTGCTTTAGATTGGTCCACGTCACTCATCCAATTCCTTTGTTTGTTTGTTCCGATAGGTCTGAACCGAGGCAGACGTTCTCGTCAGGCATCGCCGTCGATGAGGAAGACGAAATTCTTGGCTCCGACGATGATGAGCAAGAGGATCCTCGGGACTATTGTCGCGGTAAGTGCAAGTGCAAGTGCGACTGTGTTTAATGGTGGATAAAGTGTAGCGTGCTGCATCCGAAATGGCTTCCACGCCTTGAACCAACTGGCGTTGGAAATATTTGTTTCGTAACTAGCGTCGTGAAGCCATTTCCAGCTCGTGTTTTTTTTTTTAACGGACATTCTAAAGAAATTTTTAAGCTTTCTTTTTAAACGCTTCTACAGTTTTTTTCAAATCTGAATTACAGAATTCATATTTATTATGTACTTTCGTAATATCTTCTCTTTTACTCAATACGAATATTGAGAAATAATCGTCATTAAAACAGCTTTTTATACTTCGTATTATCATTTTAACATTATCACAGTATTTACTTCGTATTATCATTTTCTACTTCACTTGTTTAATAAAAAAATGTATTAATGTGCAATTGCTATCTCAAGGCGTATCCATTGTACGGGGACGCCATTTCAAAATTAATTTGTAAGTAACGTAGTGGTGCTACTACTGTCCCGTTACGTTTTCATTCGCGTCACAGTTAAACAATTACCCAAATTCAATTTTTGCCGACACAAAGTTGTGCATTAGCTGAATGTAGATTGCATACCAAATATTTTAGTTTACAATTAGTGGTGCTACAACAACACGTTAGTTTCTCGCACTAGGAACGGTTAAGTAATGTAATTTAACTTCTGTTCGTACGAACATCTCAGTCATCACTTGTAAATCTCTCTACCAATCGCAGCGCATGACTTACGAACGTGTGAGTATACCGGCAGCCAAAACATGTTACCATTTTTTACCCATGTACAGAACAAACAAATTAGATAAAGTCACAATTGTAACAGTATTTGCAGGACATTATACAGACAATCTCCACGAGGTTGCTTCGATCACTTAAAAGAGAACTTCCAACTAAAGACCGGCAAAGGTGGCGTCGGGGGCATCAACTGATGTCACTGCGTAGCCTGAGGCCGGGAGGTTCTAGTCTCGGACGGCAGGATTTTCTACACTAGCTAGACAGCTAGGTTGAATTCAGCCACTGTCCCGAGAACACTTCTGGCGGCCAGCTACTCTTATAAGTAGTTTTTCGTGGATCAAAACCGGGCGAATGTCGGAGCAGTACCTTAGCACCTGACCCGTGGCCCGTTCGTTATCTTTGCTAGCTAATAACACGTTAACAATAAGCATCATACATATTTTGAAACTGTTGTGTATTATAAAAATTATTCTAGCATTTTGATTTGAATTTATTTGATTGAATTTCTTTATTCACTGATCTAAATCAGTACATTGTTAAGGTTGCCCCAGGCGAATACCGGAGCAGTACTACCCTAGCAAACGGGCCACAGACCGCACGCGATCTTTCCTTCCTCTTCCTTGTCCTATCACCCGGTACACATAGTTACACTAACATGTACAACACTACCACACATGCCGGGAGACCGGTCGGGCGCTCAGACCTTGTTCCGGCTTGGGGGATGTCCCTCTGATGGGAGATACGTGGTTGAGAGGAAATCCCGTGGGAAGATCACCACCTTCCGAGGAAAACACGTGCACTACACTTATGGGTCTAATGATCTCGGTAGTTGGCGCACCCGGAATCGCTAACAACCAGCCAACCATCGGTTGCACTCGGAAGGCATTCATTTGATGGCCTTCCTAAGTTGCTAGTTCCTGGAAGCTTGGTGCTGGCGGCAGGCAGAGGTTGTGGAATTCCCGCTCGCAGGCTTTCGGCCGGCCCGGCCCGGCCCGGCCCGGCCCGGCCCGGCTCGGCTCGGTGGAGGGCGTATGGTGGCGGCTGCCTGTCGCGTCTTTCGCCCAGCAGCCACGGTTCCTCTCGCTCGGAGTTGACACGAGGCGTGCACGGAAATGCAGTCGTCGGCGAACGGAATTTAGATCAACAATTGTAGAGATAACGGTCATGATGATATTCAGGGATGCGGTTCACGGGATTGGTCGTGAAATGAACAATTCAACTATCAGTTTACCAACGTTTCGGAATCTTTTAATTCATTCGTCAAGGTTGGTGTACAAACAAAACAAGGAGAAGACATCAATGCGAAATTACATTCACAATAAGATATGCCAAACAAACAAACAAAAAAGTGATATAACATTCGTTATGAGTGTAGTATGTTAAATCCCTTTTTTGTTTAGCATATATTATTGTAGATATATCATATTGAAGTCTTATTGTTTTTGTTTGTACACCAGCCCCGATGAAAGAATTAAGATTCTTAAACGTTGGCAAACTGAATGTTTAATTCTTCATATTTCGAGCAATCCCGAGAACCGCATCCCTGAAATTCAAATTGTTTATGGTCGCGACAACTCACGCATTGCCCGTGATGCGACGTTGTGGTTGACCCGTTACTTCCTCGTAACCTTCTGTTGCATATATCTCCGGCTTTCACCTGGTCACCTGGTGGCAAAGTCCGCCTTCGAAATTTAGAATTATCAAATTTTGTTTGAGCGCAATACTTCTGCTACTACTACTATACTGTTATATCAATCATTTTTTCACGTTTTCGAAAAGTTACCGTTGCTTGAATTACTAGAATTTATCGATTCTTGTTGACAATATTTGTGAAGTTAAAAAAAACGTTAAATTTGTTTATAGACATTTTAGTTTCCGAATAGCGCCCACTTTTGACAATAAGTATATTTGAAGAAAAGTGTGTAATATTTTTATATTTGATATGGCAGAATTCTAACCTGTATTGAGCGTAACCACATTAGTCTTGCAAACTTCTAATCGTTGACCTTGGAACCTTACCATTGCCTTGCCTCTTTATTTACGAGTCTGTTGTTTGTGTCAAGACTGACTTATTAGCGGCGGAAACATTTTCATGAAATTCTGATTTATAATTACAACACGTCGTAGAAATCACATTCATCAGGTGTCAGTATAAACAGATCGTCATAAGAAATCCACATATAATACATGCACGTTACTTTACAACACATTGCTAGAAGATATGAAACTATTATAATTGGTACACAAATTTATGTTTAAGTTTGCGCTGCAAAATTGTTTCAATTCAATTAGAGACTATACTGACGACAAAAAAAGAAGAAAAGAAAAGATATATAATGATTTAGTTTACATTTGTATTGTATAATTTAAAAAAAGATTTAGTATGCCCGTAACAACAACTCGTTTTCTTTTTTCCCCCTTTTTTCTTCTTTTCGGTTTCCCTGATCCATTGAGCAAATGGTGAGATGTCACGTTGATTTGGTTCTGGACATAAATGTAGTTTCACTGTGTGCCCATTTTGTTGAGCTCAGCTAAACTTCACATTTTTAAAACTTTTATTCATCTTTAAACTAAATAGTTTTAATTCAACTTTATAGTTAAAATGTTGGGAAGAGATTCTGGAGCTCAAGAAGACGTGCATAGATGTTACTTCTCCCCTATGCGTCATATACAGTTTTTACTTTTTTAAACTAAAAACATCTAATCAAAATGAAGTTCATTACAGTACCATCTATTGGTAGTTATTGGAACCAAATAAACACTCTGCGCTTGCTTGGTGCCCACGCGGGCATGAATCTTGGGCCAGAGCGTAGGAAGAGGCACGTTGTAATACCTCATACCCGTGGCAGCGCCATGGGCTGGCGGAAATTCGTGTGATCGAATCAAATCGAATCGGATCGAAACGTCTCTTCCCCTTCCCGTTTACATGTGCATGTAATACTCTTTGCTCGACTTCTTTCCTCCTCGGAATCCTCCTCGTGCTGCCACTGCCTGGAGGTGTCGTCGACGCCACGGGGAATTAATTTTTCGGTATTTTTTTTCTATTTCTCCTTTTCATAATTATTTTTAGTGGGAAAATGAATGAAATAAATTTTCAGAGTGATTAATCAGTGTTATCCCATTTCACTGAGCACTTAAAGGTTTTTAATATACGTTCAGAATTATTTTCTTGTCTTAGAAACCAAGACTATGGGTTTGGTGGTTGTAGATGTGACTTTATTGAGGTTACCTTGAACTACAGTTAATAATCTTTTCAATCACGTTTTTTAAGTAAATGCGGATGAAATTAGGTCTGTAGAGCATTGATTTCCGACAGAAGAGTGATCAGTTTGTCACGTCGAGTTGCCGGGTTATGGGCACAGACAGTAGTGTCTGCTAGGGGGATGAAACGGAATGGTAAGATAGAAGGGTGTGGTGAATCTCACGAGGGCTACCTCACACTATATTTATTGTCCGATTTTCTTTAGAAAGGGATGATTTGACAGCGAGTGCTGGCAACACAACTGGCGATTCTGTGGTCGTTGTGTCCTTGAACTGATTAGGCTCTCCTTCCTCCATTCGTTCGTTTGCAGTTGGCTAACTTGTAAATAGTTACGACGATCCCTGGCTGTGATGTCCTCGTCCGACGAAAATATAGTGCACCACAAGAAATAATTGAAATTAGGAAGTGCAGAGCTTTGTGCTCTTCTGTAAAAATTGTTTCTTTTTATAAAAATTACATTGAATTTAGTTTTTATGTGATAAGTATTATGTTTGTTTTAAAATCGAGTCTTGAATGTGAGATGCGTACTCGCGACGGTGCACGTGTTTACTTCTCTAAAGTACACATGATGTTCACTTGTTTCGCGAACTGTCACTTTATCCCATTCTTAAGAAAACCGTTCTATATTTTCTACCGAGAGGGTAAATCCTCGGAGGGGACACGGGAGAAGGGTTTTTTTGCTTTTATTCTCACTCCACGCGGCCGACGCGCACGCTTTCGGCTATTGGCATCGGGATGCCGCCGGAACGCAGTTCTCCCTCTCGGAAACCTTCCCATGCAATGCCGGAGGTGGGCCGCTCTGCCAGTTCAGAGCTACAGGCTTTCCAGACCAGTGCCAGAGTCGAAGCAACGCGCCGGGACACGTCCCTCCTCTGCGTCCGGAGTACCGAGCCACTGCCACGACGAAACCGAGTGCCCGACAAGTGCCTGGAAGATCTGGAAGGATCCGGGGTGGGAATGGACAGTATCCTCGTTATGAAACCATGACGCATCTAG